TGTCCGGAAACCAAATGTCTTCGGACGACGACGACGATGTGATAGCAATATACGAACGCAAATTTTTTGTGGTCGTTTAAAAATTATATGCATAATCAGGATGGAAACAAATTAACAATAAATCTAATAGTTGAGCTTTGCAAAGTGAGTCGGTAGGGATGAAGGGCAGAAATTTCGACTACCAATGGAAAATGAGGATATATTATATATATATAGGGCAGAAATTTTGTCTGGGAACAGACCACTTACTTACCATTCACATAATTTTGGAAGCCCTTCGTGAACGGGAGGAAATCATGTGTCTACACGACATAACTTTTCGTACAGAACGAGGCTGTGTATTTATACATCTTGCACAGTCAAACGGGTGACCTTTTTTACACGTATTTTACTTACAGATAGGAAAAGTCAAAAGATGACTACATTTCTTAGTCTCCCCAGTTATTCTTTAGGGTGAACGCAAACAGAGATTCGATACTGGTCATAAGTGGCTGATACGTTTTCATAACAAACTGTTAATTTATTAATTATTTATGTAATGGAAAAAATGTTGACATAAGTCAATGCAAGATAATTTTATTCTTTTATTCTCAATTTTTTTTGCTCCCTAGCACTGCACGTACAAGACTTAGCCGGTTCCAAAGCTTTTAATTTAGGTGTTCCTAATTAATTTCATTGCAGGAACGCGTGTTGATCATGTTGATATAATTATGGAAAGCCAACTATCACGGAGTCGGTATAAAACATTCGCGGAATCGGCTAACAACTTTCACGGAGTCGGTCCAAAACTTTCGCGGAGTCGGCAAAAACATTCACGGGATTCGGTAATCTTACACGGCCGTGCAAGTACTGTATTATTACACTGTTAAACTTGCACGGAGTCGGGGGTCCCGTATGGCTTTCCATATATAATACTAATTTATATATTTCGTAGGTTAAGAATTTTTAATCTTTAACCTCTGCGATTTGCCTCTAGTTTTATAATGAAAAATATTTATATTAAAATCATTTTATAACTTTTAATGAGTAGGAATGAATAGATTATGCAGTATAAAGCATTTATATTGATTACGATTTTATCAGTAGTCATCAAGTTATTGTTTGAGCAAAATTATAATAAAACATATATTACAGAAGCTGTAGTAACTTAAATAACTAAATAACTAAATATATCTTTTTATTGTAATTATGCATTTCAGTAAACAATCAACATTAATCAACATTCATCGGCGATTTTTCATATGACTCTCACCTGAGTTAAACGTCTTAAATTTTCAATTGATGTAAAATAATTGGTTATTCCTGGGACATATATTGCTTATTATACTACTCCCAGGTATACATAAGCTGAATCCAAAACTGATGCACACACACGTTTTTTTTTTATGATGAAATTATAAACACAATTCAAATTGTGCAATGATGTTGATTTACCGAATCCCTTCCATGAAAGAGATAATTATACCTGCTATCATTGATCATCAATACTGTTTACTAAACATATTCTTCCGAACATCAGCGAAATTAACATGTGAAAATTCTACGTTGCACTTAATCAAATACTTCACCAAACTTTCCGAATTTTATTGTAATAATTCATTGTTTTATTATGGTGCTGGATCGACTTGGGGTCGGATTGGTTTGGGACCGGAACGACCAAATACCTTTATATGCTTCTGTTAATTTTAAACCAGAAGGGAAATTTGATGACTTAAATAAAGGCAACAGTAGTATACCGTTGTTCAATAGTCATAATTCGATTAAGCAAAAACAAATCCGGGTAACAAACTAAAACCGAGGGAAACACATCGACTATAAGAGGAAAACAATGGAACAACAGAAACACTGAACTACAACAAAATCAAACGCCAACATACATAGAAACGGACTGTCTGATAACAACTGCCATATTCCTGACTTGGCACATGAAATTTTAAGAAAAAATGGTGGGTTGAACCTGGTTTTATGGCTAGCCAAACCTCCCGCTTATATGGCAATGTTAAAAATACCGCTATGACAACACTACGTGACAGGAATAGTGTACAAACGAACACTCAGCACAGAGAAATACATAAATTAATAATATAATGGTACATTACAACATGTAAACCACAGAATAACAACAGACACCTCCAATGAATTCACGACAGCAACAATGTTAGCATAGAGGTTCTAACCTATGTAAAATAACTAAGGGTAGATTCAACTGAGAAAAATAGGAATATAGAAAAACAGAACCAGAATGAAACAGCGAAGAGAAATAGCACAAAAACTAAAAATATGGATGTTATACAAACTTATGAAAGACCAGAAGAAAATATATACAGACAGATCAATATAGAATGGTAGAAATGCGGTTTAAACAGTTAGAAAGCCAGTTGGTTCAGTTCATGTGTCTGAACACTCAATAACAACTCGGATAATGTTACAGGCCCAAACAGACTCCATTTATCCACAAAGATACACCAATATTTACAACTTAGTCCAACGACATCACTCAATGGAACAACCTACGAATTGCCAACAAACGTCAAATCTCAATGTCCTAAGACAAGAAGGAAGACTTCCAACAGATAATCAGCCAGCCCTTAATTACCAAAACAGGCATCAGTTTCAGCCAAAACTTACACAAAGTCTTTCAGATTATTATGGAAAACTTGCATTCCAGCAAATAACGTATAGGCCCACATTAATGAACAACATTGTTAAACATACACTAAAAAAATTCAACATCACATTCAATAAGGAGGAAATATTGAAAGCAATAGCTGACCTTATCTCGGGGAAAAACGGCAGACGAATACTCTCACTGCAGAGCATTTCAATTATGCAGGTTGAAGCATTAGTCCTATTATACTGTCTCTATTTGTCAAAATAATGCAGGAGAAATACCTAAAGTCTTCAAAACCGGAATCATGACACCCGTTTACAAAAAAAGGCATGGTCTGCAGATTACCAACAAATGGTAGGGGAATAACAGTAACTTCTGCCTTAGGGGAAATATTTAAATATGACATACTTTACAAAATGAAATAACAACCAATCAGAGCTTCACACAAAGGCTGTCTCCCACCATGACAGCATTATTAGTCTTAGAAGGAATAGCCGAAACAAAATAGAATATGTTTCTATCTACACTAGACAGCCATGAAGCTTTTGACGTTGTTCATAATTTGATTATAATGGAAAAGATGTTCTAAGAAATTCCCCAAAAAATACGGAGAGTTTTTCATGTATAGTAATATGTCATCTAAAACTAAATGGAACAATTTTAAAGGCAAGCAATTTTCAGTACAGAAATGAGTAAGACAATGTATAGTCAACACATCTATAAAAACTACATCAACGATTTACCTGAAGAATTAGAAGGGAGAGAATCAGGACTAAATGTATGCCTAGAATATTGTGGAAGTCCACTGTGTGCTCATATTGTATTGATGACCACCAATGAAAAAGATATTCAAGCAATGCTTTCTTTTTGTATAACTTTAAAATATCTACGACTTGAAGTCCTTAATTTTTAATTTTTTTTTTTGGGAGGGGGTGGGGGGGGGGGGGGGGGGGGGGGGTTGAAGTGTATGGTATGTATTTGCAAAGGGGCTTTGTAGAGGTGAGTTTTGTTCTGAATACCTCAGGCATATGCGACCGTGCTGAGTTCTATATACAAGTTTCCGGATTAAAGAATCACTTTTACATGATTGGACATTTGTCGATATTCTTGGTAAGAGCATTTTGTCTATTCAATAGATATCCTTTATGTTTTCCTTCTAACTTATGTGGGTCTGGGATGGTGGGCGTAATCTGTTTATAGATCTTTCACTTCTTCGTGGTGATTTTCTAGATTGTATCACAGTTTGCGTTGCCTTTTTCTATATTGCTTTGTTTGTCTTGTGGTCTTTTATTATATTGAATAATATCAGTTTTTTTTTAATTAATCTATTGTTTTACTCGTTGTACTTTTAATAACATAGGAGCCGAATCAACTTAAAATATGGGCCAGATCGACTTGGGCTGAATCAACTTGGGGCCGGAACGACATGAAACCGAAATTAAGACCGTGCTTTTGATTTTTGACAACTGTAAGTACTTTAATGGCGTTCTAACTTAGTAAGTTTGCATCTTTTTTTAATCGTATGTAAATTAGTGAGTACTATAATCTATCTTGCCTTTTAAAACGTATGTATATTGGTGAATATCACAACAATCTGGTGAGTTCATGGAAGCAAGCTTACACATTTTTAGACGGTTTTACCCGACAACCTTAAACCTTGCTATTTTGTCCGCGTATGCTGATTTGTAGTTGTGCTGTAAAATAATAATTTTAAATGATATCGTTTACGAACATCCAGTCACCTAATTACAATTTGCTCACCTTGCGCACTCGGCCAATTTGAGCTTTGCAATTACTTGGCGTCAGTCCGTTTGCAGTCTTTCTCGTCAGTCGTCCTCATCGTCGTCTGTCATCGTCCTCGTCAGCCATCCTCGTCCATCGTTGTCGACCATTGTCTATCGGTAAATTTTACAAAAATCTTCTCTTAAACTACTTGGTAAAATTTAACCAAACTTGGTCACAATCATCATTATGGCATCTTGTTTAAAATACATGACCGATGACCCAGTTTGCCAACCAACCTGGCCATTTCTTAAAATACAACATAGGGGTAAAATAAAACATTTTGTCTTTTATCTTGAAAACCACTTAAGATACAGCAAAACCTGACAAGGTCGAAAATGTTCGGAAAAACGAGATTTACCTACTGCCCATTTACATCAAAAAGAGTTATTGTCCTTAAGGTAGATGAGGGGGTCTAAATTAAAATCCATAGAATTTTTTAATAATTTGTCAAATGTAGTTAATATCATGCTTTTTTCAAAAATATAATAAAAAGTATGGGGTCACCGGACTTTTTTTCACGCTACAGGTTGTGCAAAATTGTCAGATTTTGTATAGATAATGCATTGAAAACCCAATTTTGTGTGATAAAAAGAAAACTACACAATAGAATTATAAGATTTATTATGAGGATAGCTCTAATAATATGCTTTCAGATGAGAAAAAGAAAAAAATGGAGTCGTCATTAAAGATCTAGACCGATTGTTATCTGCTATTTCAAAATCCAAGATGAGGAAGACACCCATACTACATTAAATCACGAATATTACTATTTGTTGTGCCGGTTTTCTTGAAAATTATAAAAGGAAGACAAAATGATGAGCACGAAAAAGACCACAAATAAGTCGACATGGCTGAAATCGTAAGTTCACTCCTCATAGAAACTATTGCCCTTTAATGACGATTTTTACCATTTTGTTGCATTTTTGTATATTATCTTGAAAATTATAGTACATAGATAGAAAGTTTATATTGCATAAGTTATCAGCAAAACAAGATGATTCCCTAATTTGAGTTATCGCCCTTTAATGACGATTTTTACATTTTTTGTGTATTTGACTATTATCTTGAAAATATAATAGATAGATAGAAACTTTAAACAGCCAAGTCAAGATCTGCAAATAGGTCGGTATTGATGAAATTGTAAGTTGTCTTCCTATAGGAGGCATTGTCCTTAAGTAAAGATTTTGTTTACCTTTTTTTGTGTTTTGTGCAAAAACTATAGACGATTAGAGAGAAACTTAGCAGAAAAAAAATTATCCAGCAATACAAGTCCAACAAAAAAAAATAGATTTAAGTCATGAATTATATTCTAGTCTAAAATGTTGGAAAGTGTCCCATTGTTGAAGATGTGCATAAACCTAGATGAGCGACACAGATTCATTAGAGGCCTCTGTTTTAAACGGGGATTAATAGATTGTTTGATATTTTTAGATAAGACCATTCCTTTTAATTAATGAATTGACATTGTATTGTCTAAATTTGCTGTATATTGTGAAGGGTGTGGTCGCCCGTTCATCCATCAGTGAATTCATTAATATGTCCATCAGAAATAGATAAATGGGTAAAACTGCACTTTGTTGGCTTACATCTCAAAAAACTAATAAGGTTCTGTGAAATTTTCACATCATTCTTTCAAGTAGTTCAGGAGCAGTTATGGATACAAAAAGTGTGACCATTTAGAAAGCAGGGTTTAATAAACAGATATACTGTAAATATTACCAGAACCAGCCATTTCCTTTTGAATTTTGATACTTAGTTGTATAAAAACAATAAGACTTTACGTTACACTTAAATTGTAGTCACAGCACGGTTCATGCTTGTGAACAAGATATTCTGATTTCTGAGAATACTTGTAAATTATAACATTAAAATCATTTCTTTGAAAATGTTTTATTAAAAGCTGTTTATGTGAGCTCTATTCAAATATTAAAAGAGATATACAATGTATCTGGTTGAGATGTCTCTTACTGTTGTAGATCTTGTGTAGCAGAATGTAGTTATTTAAAAGAAGCATGATCAACAGTGAATGAAAAATGTTCATAATTTTGGTAATTTGAGATTAAATTGTCTCCATTTGTACATTTTGGAAATCAACTTTTTATGTGTTGTCTTTGATATACCTTGTTAATGTTGGTGGTCATCTTATTTGTATATGGACTTTTCAGGTTGTTTATCATGTGTTTATTTTTTTTTAAAGACAATTGATCTAGTGGTTGGTCAAGGGGGCCGAATCTGCACACTTAAAACTTGTTTAATCACACAAAATAATTACATTTTGTACCTGTACCATCCTAACAAGTCAGGCTATATGGAATATATATATTGTGTTTGTTTCAATTTGTAGTCTTTTTTCGAAGAGTAAACAGATCAGTGTTTTTCATAAGAGAATTTTTTTAAATTTTAATGAGAAAATACAACACAAAGAATATACGAGCAATGGTGTTTTTATCTTTTTTACAGTCCTACTTTTCTTCTGAATCCAATAATCCACCACTTTCAAAGAAAAGACAATGCCCCTCCCCCAACAACAACAACAACAACAATTTTGTTTTTGGATTGGATGATTGGTGTCTAATTCATGGTAAACATACGATAATGAAATACAAATCAAAACAAAAATAATGGTTGGTGCAAACACATACTATAGAAATACTGAAAAATGCTGAATTAAAAAAAAATATAGACATTTCTAAAAATCATAACAAATATTGCTGAAACTGATATACAAAAAAAATAAACTAGTCTTAAAAGCGCAAGTGATAGCGTATTACTGCAATACTTGCTAATATGGAATTAAAGGGAAAAGCTAATTGATTGCAATATACTGAAATAAATTAAAATAACAGCACAACTATTGAAACAGTTTCTAAAACTGATGCATATAATATACATATAACATAAAAAAAATTACAACTAAAATTTATATATATATAATATAGCAATATTAATAAAAAAAAATGTGTAAACAGCACAACCATTAAAACAGTTTCAATAAAGTGCTACCGCAGGGCTCAGCTTGATACGACCACAGAGGTCAAACCTTGAACAGTTGGGCCAGTATGGACACTACATATTCAAGCTTGATACAGCTCTAAATTTGGATTGCGATTAAATATTTGACACATCATAGGTTTCTGACACAGACTGAATGTGGTCAAAGAACTCAAAAAATTGAAATTGGACCAATATCCAAAATCTAATTACAAGGTTAGATTCAGCATATCAAAGAACCCAAAGAATTTATTTTTTTTCAAATCAAACAAAGTTAAATTTTGGACCCTTTGGACCTCAATGTGGACAAATTTAAAAACAGGCCCTATTATTAAAATTTCTAAATACATGGTTAGATTCGGCATATAAAAGAAAACCAATGATTCAATTTTTGATAAAATCAAACAAAGTTCAATTTTGGACACATTATAATAGACCTTATTATGGACCAATTCAAAAACAGGGCCCAAAATCCAAATTCTAAATCCACGGTTAGATTCATCATATTAAAGAACCCTGAGAATTCAAGACTTTAAATTAAACCCAATTGAAATTGGTCAAGAAATAAGCAATTATTTTATGCAAACAATCACAAAAGTATTGTTTTTGGCCCCTTTTTCCTAAACCGTTAGGGTCGTGACCCCCAAAATTAATCCCAACCTTCCTTTTATGGTATGGAACCTTGTGGTACAATTTCATAGCAATCCGGATCCATAGACTTATACTCAAGCTATTGTGCAGAAACCAGAAAATCCTAGTTTTTTTTGGCCCATTTTTCCTAAACGTTTAGCCATGAATCTATAAATCAATCCCAACCTCCCTTTTGATGTATGGAACCTTGTGGTAAAATTTCATAGAGATCCATACACTTATACACGAGCTATTGTCCTGAAACAAGAAAAATACTTGTTTTTGACCCCTAGATCCTAAACAGCTGGGACAATAACCTCCAAAATCAATCCCAATTTTTCTATTGTAGGATGGAACCTTGTGCTACAATTTCATAGAGATCCATACACTAATACTCAAATTATTGTCTGGAAACAAAAATATGTTTGGACGACAAATGTCTACGGACGACAACTTGTTTTTGGCCCCTATTTCCTAATCAGTTAGGACAATAACCCCCAAAATCAATCCCACCCTTCTTATTGTGGTATGGAACCATGTGCTACAATTTCATAGAGATCCATACACTTATACTCAAGCTATTGTCTGGAAACCCAAATATGTTTGGACGACAAATGTCTACAGACGACATCTTGTTTTTGGCCCCTTTTTGGCCCGTAATTTCTAAACAGTCAGGACAATAACCTTCAAAATCAATTCCAACCTTCCTATTGTGGTATGGAACCATGTGCTACAATTTCAAAGAGATCCAGACACTTAAACTAAAGTTATTATCCGGAAACTAAACGTCTTCGGACGACGACGACGACGTGATAGCATTATACGAACGCAATTTTTTTGCAGTCGTACAAAAATGAGCATATATATAGATTTATTAGGAAAATTTAGCACTTTTGTTCTTCAAAGCAGACCTATAAGACTAGTTCGTAAGAGCAGCCATTATGATCTGATGAAGTCAAAATATTATAGATAACCAGTTGTTTCACTATTTAAAAATGAAAAGATACATGTAAACTTACTTTTAGAATGCTTTTATTTAATTTCCTAGCAAGCAACACCAATACAAACGTCCATTTTGATATCCAGCGTTCTATTAGATTTATTTATATATTCATTATAGTTTTCAAGGTAATAGGCAAAAACGCAACAAATTGGTAAAAATCTTCAGTAAAGGGCAATAGCTCCAAAAAGGAGTCGACTGATGATTTCGGCCATGTTAAATTGTTTGTAGATCTTGTTTTGTTGATCGTTTATACTATATTAAGTTTCTCTCTATCCATTATATTTTCAAGATGATAGGCAAAAATGAACAAAACAAATGGTAAAATTCGTCATTTTAAGGCAACATAACTCCTATAAAAAATGAAAACACGTGTCTGAGCGCTTTTCTAGATTAAGCTTCATCAGGAACACTCAAGGTGAATATTTGAAAGCCAAGGATGTCTAAGAACAGAAACAGTTAAAGAGAAGTCGTATTGACAGTTTTTATGTAAATGGACATCATCATTTTGAACATTTCTGCAAATTTTTGATTTTCTCTATCTATTAGGGTTTTCAAGATAATAGACAAAACATGCATATTACCCTTATGTTCTATTTTAGCCATGTTAACCATGTTGGTTAGTAGGCAGGATCATAAGACACAATTTTTAAACTAAATACACAAATTATGATTGTGATCAAGTTTGGTTCTATTTGGACCAGTAGTCTCAGAAGAGAACAATTTTGCAAAAGTTAACGGCAGACCTCAGATTATGGAGGCCAAGTGATGAGAAAAGCTCATTTTACAATTCAGCTTTTTTATGTTTGATTCGCCCATAATTTCTTTATCATCTAAAATTTACTAGATTTTCCAACATTGCAGGAATTATAGCTGAATGATTTATTGTCATTTTTATTAATGTCTATAAACATGATAAAGTATATGTTAGTTCCAAAAATAACATAATTACATTGTTGAAAGGATAAAAGAAATCACATTAGTGTAAAAATATTTCATATACATCCACAAAATGCTATGACGAAGCCCAATACATATTGTTTTGTCTAAAATGCGAAATAAACCATATTTTAAATAGCACACACCAGTTTAAAATATGTCAAATACACTTCTGAATATACTTTTTTTTATTGTTTTTATATCATTTTTCATTGAGATGAACCTTTTATTTTTTCCATACAATTCATACATAAGAAAAATCCCTAGACATCATTGTCCAGCCAAAAAAAGTATATAGATGCAAATATAATGACAATATCTAAAGAATTGGGAGTTGTTCTAAGAAATATACACATAATCTATTCCCAATTCCATTAAAAAAACCTGAGCAGCTACTGTCCTTACATCTGTTTAATGTAGCTCATGTACCATTGATTATTACTATAGTAACAAGTTCCATTCTGTGCCATGTAAAATAAGATAAAATCTTTTTTTTATAAAATTTTTCATATCAATTTACCAATTTTTATTTTAAAAATTGTTATATGGTATAGGCATGTGTCCATCATCGAAAGCGCTATGGTAACCTTAAGATGTCTCATTCTGGTGAACATCTGTGCTATCAGGAAGCTGTCCATTACACCAAAGTTTCCTATCTTTTATTATGGTTATTTTATATTAGTATACATCGAGTTTGGAGATACATAACACTTACTCCTTCCTACTGAAAACCTCTGTCACTTTTAAAATGGCTAATTTTAATTCTTTCGATTCTCTCCAACACTTCCATTTTCAGAAATCTAGGATGAGAACAAACTCTGTATTAATTTTCCTAGAGTTGCCTCCTAGCCTTTCTTATTTTACCATTTATTTAGCATATGATAGCAGAAGTCTGTTCTATCATAAGTCCCTTCCATGTAAAAAAATACTTCAAAGATTTAAAAAAATATCCTTTTTACAAGACAATGTCAAGGCAAAGTGACATATCATTATTAGAGTGCAACCAAGGAGTACTGGAATAAAACAACCCACAGAAGAGTTTAACAAAATAATCACCATGTTGGAAAAAGTATTGAGAAAAGATTATTTACCTTGTACTGTACATTTGCCATCAGTTTCAATATTTTGCGCTAGCTGGTTACCAGCGTTATTGTATCTGTCTTTATCCTGCAATCGACCTTTCTACTATACTAATGCAGGTGTACAGATACAACGAAGCAATATACGTATACCAGACTCATATAGTCTCCTGGTATCCTGCTTCTGTTGCGAGCTAGCAGTCATGTCAAATTACTGTTTTTACGTCACAGTTCAATTTGGGGTCCTCATTGCGGTCCGCCTTTAAGTCATGTCAATTTCTTTGAAAAACAAATTCAACGAACAAATTCAACGATTGGGATGGAAAAAAATGTACAAAATTTATTGCAGGATAAAGACAATAACTGTTTAGTGTCTTTAAATATCAGCTGTATTTGTACTCGGCTCAAAACAGGAGTAATAGCTCGCTGAAGCTCGCATTACACCTGTTTCTTAGCCTCGTACAAATACAGATGATATTTAAAGACTCTTAACAGTTATTGTCTATGTATCCTCTTCTGGTGATGACATACAAGTTTGACCATGGACAGAAACATGTGACGTCAGTCTTTTATAACTTGCTGCATCTGGAATCTTGTTTTCACTTTGATCAGTGCAAACTATACCTTTAGAAATAGGAATTATTTTCAATTCTGATTTTGAACTGATATTGTCCATTTTACCCTTCACAATGTCAATTGGTGTTTCTGTTTTATTAGTATTGCTTGATGTTTTGTCACCAGTTATAGCCAGTTGGTGCTGATTTATAGTCTGCTCAAGTTTTGCTTCCACAGGAAATATCTCATTACGAAGTGTTAAGTTTACTGCCTTTTTGGACATTGTGTTAAACAGATCGCCGATATTGACTCCTTGCTGAAGTAGCTTTTCACTAGGATATTTTCTTTTTTGTTCTCCAGTAAACTTTTTACTATAATAAAAAGAAGGAAATCCCCTAATATAAACAAAAACAACATGAGCCACATTATTAAAAATAACAATGCCAGGACTCCCTGAAGCTCCACCAACAAATTCACACTGAATAACTAATCTATCTTTTCTGTCCAGTTCTATGTAACCATTCTGTTGTCCATATTTTTGACAAAACCTTTCAAGATCTTCCATTCTTTTCTCTGTTGGATTCCAAATACCTATTCCAGAGTTGACTTCTTTTTTTATACCTTTATTATGACTGATCAAATAAATATGTTTATCCTCATCTTTTTTAGGATTAAGTCTATAAAACTTCTTAAGTGGAGGAGGAAACGGCTTCCGGTCATCAGGTATCAGCTGGAGAACGGCAACATCCAAACTTTCATCCATAAACAATACTCTTGGTTCAACTTTGAAAAAACTCTGTGATTTTTCACTTATATAATCAAAATCTACGTCAAATGTTTTCAAAAGTTTTTCATTAGATGTTTTATCTTCGGTATTATCTAAAAAAAAGTATGATATATATTGGATGAAAGCATAATGTCAGAACAATAACATCTCATTTTCAAATATATATATCCTACTTATATATGATATACTACAATAATGACAATTGAGATTTATAAGATGCTACCTTATATGTCATGGCAACATCTTATGCAGAAAATCTGCTTCTTATATAAATTAACTAATCCAGTCATTGATCTTACTCTTGATGATGTGTACTTACAGGAGAAACATTATTAAATTACCAATTTAAAAATGTAAGATTCTGCTTAAATCTAGCCAGTGGTTGAAATAAACTCACAACCTGCTACATTCAAATCTTCAAGGCACACTACTACAAAGATGATGCCACCTGCCTCATGTATCAATATAGGTGAGCAAACAGTGCAACTTGAAATAGTAATGTGACTGTAAGACATATTTGATGTCCCTGCCATAGTTGATGACAAACCAAGTACTCTGTATTAATTTTACCCATAAATGACAAAGTTCCAACATCCTGTCATTTTTGGAAAATTATAAGAAAAGCAAAATCCTGACAATAAAGCAAGTACTTAGTATATGTACTAACACCCTGTATCATGTAAATGTTCTAGCTAGAAACTGCATGAGTTGCTAGCAGGACCATCCATGTCCTAATTTTATCCAAAAATGACAAAGTTCCACATCCTGTCATTTGTGCAAAATTATTGCGAACCCAATGAAAGTTTTCCACAGTGCCATCTCTATCTTGACCAGGTATTTAAACTTTTGTAAGTTCACCTGTCCTATTGAATGAATACAATAGCTATTTTTCTCCATGTATTTTTTTCACTGGGACCTTTAAATTTCTTCTAAGAGAAATCTATCACTCATTGATTAATTTACCTGAGTAAAAAAATTTTCTTATATATAGACAATAAAATGCTCCGCAGGGCGCAGCTTGATACGACCGCAGAGGTTGAACCCTGAACAGTTGGGGCAAGTATGGACACAACATTCAAGCTTGATACAGCTCTGAATTTGGATTGTGATTACATATTTGACACAGTATAGGTTTCTGACACAGAATGAATGTGGTCTAAGAACTTAAAAATTTTTAATTGGACATTCACCTATTATGGTCCAATATCCAAAATCTAAATACATGGTTAGATTCAGCATATCAAAGAACCCCAAGAATTCAATTTTTGATGAAATCAAACAAAGTTTAATTTTGGACCCTTTTGACCTCAATGTGGACAAAGTTGATAATGGGGCCCAAAAATCAAAAATCTAAATACATGGTTATATTCAGCATATCAAAGAACCCCATATATTCAATTTTTGTTGAAATCAAACAAAGTTTAATTTTGGACCCCGATTTGGACCAACTTGAAAACTGGGCCCATAATCAAAAATCTAAATACATGTTTAGATTCAGCATATCAAAGAACCCTAAGAATTCAATTTTTGTTAAAATCAAACTAAGTTTAATTTTGTAACCTTTGGACCTTAATGTAGACCAATTTGAAAACGGAACCAAAAATTAAGAATCTAAATACACGGTTAGATTCGGCATATCAAAGAACCCCAATAATTCAATTTTTGATGAAATCAAACAAAGTTTAATTTTGGACCCTTTGGACCTCAATGTGGACCAATTTAAAAACGAGGCCCAAAATCCAAAAACTCAATACACGGTTAGAATCAGCATATTAAATACCCCAAGAATTCAAGAATAAAACCCCATTGAAATTGGTCAAGAAATAAGCAATTTATACGAAGTATCTTCTTTTGCACAATACTGTGCAATTGAATATTTCTTGCTATTGCACAATACTGTACATTTGACAATTTCTTGCTATTGCGCAATATTGTGCTATTGGATATTTTTTGGTATTGCACAATACTGTGCAATTGAAGATTTCTTGCTATTGCGCAATTCTGTGCAATTGAAGATTTCTTGCTATTGTGCAATACTGTGCAATTGAAAATTTCTTGCTATTGCACAATACTTATTATATAATAATTCACACATCCTGTTTGGTGTGTATCTCCTACCATATCATTATTATTTGCTTTAAAATATAAAACAGAAATAACCAACTTAAAATGGAAAATTTTAAAAGAAAAAAAAAGGAAAAAAAAAAAATCCCCCCCCCCCAAATTTTTTGAACCCCCTTATGATTCATCACCCCCAAACTCAATCCCAGCCTTCCCTTTGTGGTATGGTACCTTGCAGTACAATTTCAGAGAGATCCATATACTTGAACACAAGTTATTGTCTGGAAACTAGAAAAATGCTTATTTTTGGCCCCTTTTTGGCCCCTTATTCCTAAACGTTTTGGGCAATTACCCCCAAACTCAATTCCAGCTTTCCCTTTGTGATATGGAACCTTGTAGTACAATTTCAGAAAGATCCATACACTTACACACAAGTTATTATCATGAAACTAGAAAAATGCTTGTTTTTTGCCCCTTTTTTTGGCCCCTAATTCCTAATATTTTGAGGCAATTACCCCCAAAATCAATCCCAGCATTCCCTGTGTGATATGGAACCTTGTGGTACAATTTCAGACAGATCCATACACTTGAACACAAGTTATTGTCTGGAAACTAGAAAAATGCTTATTTTTGGCCCCTTTTTGGCCCCTTATTCCTAAACGTTTTGGGCAATTACCCACAAACTCAATTCCAGCTTTCCTTTGGTGATATGGAACCTTGTAGTACAATTTCAGAAAGATCCATACACTTACACACAAGTTATTGTCATGAAACTTGAAAATGCTTGTTTTTTGCCCCTTTTTTGGCCCCCAATTCCTAATGTTTTGAGGCAATTACCCCTAAAATCAATCCCAGCATTCCCTGTGTGATATGGAACCTTGTGGTACAATGTCAGAGAGATCCATACACTAACACACAAGTTATGTCTGGAAGTTACAATAAAATGCTCCGCAGGGCGCAGCTTGATACGACCGCAAAGGTCGAACCCTGAACAGTTGGGGCAAGTATGGACACAACATTCAAGCTTGATACAGCTCTGAATTTGGATTGTGATTAAATATTTGACACAGCATAGGTTTCTGACACAGAATGAATGTGGTCTAAGAACTTAAAAATTTTAAATTGGACATTCACCTATTATGGTCCAATATCCAAAATCTAAATACATGGTTAGATTCAGCATATCAAAGAACCCCAAGAATTCAATTTTTGATGAAATCAAACAAAGTTTAATTTTGGACCCTTTTGACCTCAATGTGGACAAAGTTGATAATGGGGCCCAAAAATCAAAAATCTAAATACATGGTTAGATTCAGCATATCAAAGAACCCCATATATTCAATTTTTGTTGAAATCAAACAAAGTTTAATTTTGGACGCCGATTTGGACCAACTTGAAAACGGGGCCCATAATCAAAAATCTAAATACATGTTTAGATTCAGCATATCAAAGAACCCTAAGAATTCAATTTTTGTTAAAATCAAACTAAGTTTAATTTTGGACCCTTTGGACCTTAATGTAAACCAATTTGAAAACGGAACCAAAAATTAAGAATCTAAATACACGGTTAAATTCGGCATATCAAAGAACCCCAAAAATTCAATTTTTGATGAAATCAAACAAAGTTTAATTTTGGACCCTTTGGACCTCAATGTGGACCAATTTAAAAACGGGGCCCAAAATCCAAAAACTTAATACACGGTTAGAATAAGCATATTAAAGAACCCAAGAATTCAAGAATAAAACCCCATTGAAATTGGTCAAGAAATAAGCAATTTATACGAAGTATCTTCTTTTGCACAATACTGTGAATATTACTTGCTATTGCACAATACTGTACAATTGACAATTTCTTGCTATTGCGCAATATTGTGCTATTGGATATTTCTTGCTATTGCACAATACTGTGCAATTGAAGATTTCTTGCTATTGCGCAATACTGTGCAATTGAAGATTTCTTGCTATTGTGCAATACTGTGCAATTGAAAATTTCTTGCTATTGCACAATACTTATTATATAATAATTTAAACATCCTGTTTGGTGTGTATCTCCTACCATATCATTATTATTTGCTTTTACATATAAAACAGAAATAACCATCTTAAAATGGAAAATTTTAAAAGAAAAAAAAAGGAAAAAAAGAAAAGAAAGGAAAAAAAAAAAAATCCCCCCCCCAAATTTTTTGAACCCCCTTATGATTCATCACCCCCAAACTCAATCCCAGCCTTCCCTTTGTGGTATGGTACCTTGCAGTACAATTTCAGAGAGATCCATACACTTGAACACAAGTTATTGTCTGGAAACTAGAAAAATGCTTATTTTTGGACCCTTTTTGGACCCTTATTCCTAAACATTTTGTGCAATTACCCCCAAACTCAATTCCAGCTTTCCCTTTCTGATATGGAACCTTGTAGTACAATTTCAGAAAGATCCATACACTTACACACAAGTTATTATCATGAAACTAGAAACATGTTTGTTTTTTGCCCCTTTTTTGGCCCCTAATTCCTAATATTTTGAGGCAATTACCCCCAAAATCAATCCCAGCATTCCCTGTGTGATATGGAACCTTGTGGTACAATGTCAGAGAGATCCATACACTTGAACACAAGTTATTGTCTGGAAACTAGAAAATGCTTATTTTTGGCCCCTTTTTGGCCCCTTATTCCTAAACGTTTTGGGCAATTACCCCCAAACTCAATTCCAGCTTTCCCTTTGTGATATGGAACCTTTTAGTACAATTACAGAAAGATCCATACACTTACACACAAGTTATTGTCATGAAACTAGAAAAATGCTTGTTTTTTGGCCCTTTTTTGGCCCCTAATTCCTAATATTTTGAGGCAATTACCCCCAAAATCAATCCCAGCATTCCCTGTGTGATATGGAACCTTGTGGTACAATGTCAGAGAGATCCATACACTAACACACAAGTTATGTCTGGAAGTTACAAAAATGCTTATTTTTGGCCCCTTTTTGGCCCCTAATTCCTTAACTGTTGGTACCATAACCCCCAAAATCAATCCCAACCTTCCTTTTGTGGTATTAAACCTTATGTTTAAATTTCATAGAGATCCATTCACTTCAACTAAAGTTAGAGTGCGAAAATAAATGTGTCTTCGGATGACGCCGGACGACGACGACGACGACAACGACGACGACGACGACGACGACGCCAACGTCATACCAATATACGACCGCAAAAATTTTTTGCGGTCGTATAAAAATGCTTATTTTTGGCCACTTTTTGGCCCCTAATTCCTTAACTGTTGGTACCATAACCCCCAAAATCGATCCCAACCTTCGTTTTGTGGTATTGAACCTTATGGTAAAATTTTATAGAGATCCATTCACTTAAACTAAAGTTAGAGTGCGAAAACCAATGTGTCTTCGGACGACGCCGGACGACGCCAGACGACGATGACGCCAACGTCATACCAATATACGACCGCAAAAATTTTTTGCGGTCGTATAAAAATACTTTTTTTATACTCATTAACTGTGTGTGATGATGTATTTATTCAATATTAATAATAAATTTTCATTCAGTTAAATATAAACATTGATTCAATCATAAAAAGTTGATTTCAAACAAAAGATTTATCAATGTTCCTATTGAAATTTGATTTTTTTTTGTCTAGTTTTAGAATACATTTAAGAAGATCTTAATTTGAACATCATAATTTTCAAGTTTTTATTCATGTCAAACAATTTTTTTTTAAAAGGAACAATGTTGAAAGTTTTGTCAGAAATCAACTTTTTATGATTGAATCAATGTTTATATTAAACTGAATGAAAATATATTATTAATATATTATTAATTTAACATTAATCAACGCTAACATGTTTAACCCCGCCACATTCTGTATGATTGTGCCTGTCCCAAGTCAGGAGCCTGTAATTCAGTGGTTGTCGTTTGTTTATGTGTTACATATTTGTTTTTCGTTCATTTTTTGTACATAAATTAGGCCGTTAGTTTTCTCGTTTGAATTGTTTTATAGCTGACTGTGTGGTGTGGGCTTTGCTCATTGTTGAAGGCCGTACGGTGACCTATAGTTGTTAATTTCTGTGTCATTTGGTCTCTTGTGAAGAGTTGTCTCATTGGCAATCATACCACATCTTCTTTTTTATATTTTATTAATGTTTCAACTTTGCATCACTGTTGATATTCAACAGATTGAAAATATATTATCAATATTGAATAAATATAACATCCCATGCAGTTTTGAGTATAAAACTTGGATGGAGAGTTGTCTCATTGGCACTCATACCACATCTTCCTATATCTATTTTCCTCTATTTACAAGATTTTTTTTTTACTCAGGTAAATTAATCAATGAGTGATAGATTTCTCTTAGAAGAAATTTAAAGGTCCCAGTGAAAAAAATACATGGAGAAAAATAGCTATTGTATTCATTCAATAGGACAGGTGAACTTACAAAAGTTTAAATACCTGGTCAAGATAGAGATGGCACTGTGGAAAACTTTCATTGGGTTCGCAATAAAAGAAAATCACAATCCTGACACTAATAGTTTTAATTGAGAAGTATGTATGAAGTTCAGGTAAAAATTGTGAAAAAATTTGAGGCCCTTAAAGCAACCCATCTTCTATAAATTCCAATATTTTTAAAGATAAAGTTAATGTCACAATGATATTTTGTCTTGGATTAACAGTGAAAAAATCAAACATGGTCTTAAGATAATTTTAACAATTAAAATTCTGATAAAAATCTTCACATTCCAACGAAACATGTCTTGTATAAACAAGTACCCTTGCCAATGAGACAACTCTCTACCACAGACCAAACGACGTAGAAGTCAGCAACTATATGTCACTGTACGGCCTTCAACAATGGACAAAACCCATATACCGTATAGCAAGCTATAAACATGATAAGGCCAAGACATGACAAATGTAAAACGATTCAAACAAAATAACTAACGACTTGATTCATGTACAAAGCAATAAACAAAAAACATATATGATATACAGCAAAAAACGACAAGTAGTAGTTTAAAATTTTTCCATTCTTTTCTTTTATTCGTTTTAAGTATTCCTTGGAGTTTGGTGCTTTTGTTATTTTACTTTTTACTTGCAATGGTAGTTTTTCCTTATTTTTCAAAAAAACATTTGGTGTTTTCCAGAATGTTTGATTCTACATTAAGAAATAACAACACAGACTAATCTTTCATACTAGTCTTTTAAAATAATTGTTATTTTTACCAATTTCTGGTTTCATTTTATATAATTTATATCAAAACAAATCATTTTATAATCCAAGCAATTTTTCGAAGGTATAAAGCATATTTTGCTCTGTGATATCTATAAGCAGCATAGTTTTATCATACAGGTACACAAATTAATAGTTGAATGCTTCTGTATTTAATTTTTATGTAAAAGTGTTGACCAAAGTATATTTTGTATGCAATATGGAAGTGCTTTATACTAAAATTGTGCCATGTTCATCGCTTATACATCCTATAAAATTACAAAAATAAGCATTCAATTTTTATAATTACATTTTTAATGTTTAGGGTTGATACAATGTGTGCTATTGAAAAAGTTTATAGATTTTATTATATACCTCAGGAAGATGCCTTCATGTGACCAAATGTAATGTAGAAAAGGGATAAGATAGAGCCTTTGCAACTGTGATTGATATCAATGACGTGACGTCATACAGAATAGGGGTTTGATAAAGCATTTGAAACCATGACTGATAATGATATCATCTTGGATGGCTGATACAGTACAATTGCTTGTATTACACATACAATTTACTATTAACTACTTAGTATATAATAAATACAAATATTTTCTATATAAAAATATACATACTTATATTACCCAGAACAACATGTGCAGCAGTAATAATCTTATCATTGCCAACCCTCCAACATGTTCCAGATTCTATACGTCCTGTTATATATCCCACAGATTTGGCAACCTCTGTCAAAACTTTCATTGTTTCTAAACTACAAGTAGTTGTTGGCCTTATAGGATCTGCTAAATATAAAACATATTCATGGAAATAAATATTAAGCTTTTTCTTTAGCTTTATTCTATCAGAAATATAAACAACAGTTTTGGCCATCAAATGAAATTCTTTTTGTAAATTTAAATAAAAAACAATGTAATGATTTGGCACAATTGTAAGAGACTGAACTTTACTTATAGCTAGACACAAATTCAGAAATATCTCTTCTTTTTGTATTCTAACACTCCAAAGTTAAAGAATTAATATTTTACTAAGTCTCTCAATTCTTAAAAATCTCCATAAAATATGAAAATTTCATATATTTCTGCAGTGGTTTATAGCTGGTCAAACTCTAATAAGTATGCCCTCCCCTCCCCCCCCCCCCCCCCCCTGGGAACTTCAATAAATATCTTATGATGGATTTTGTTCAGAAAAGAGTCATGCAAATTGACTTGGCAGATTTAGGAGAAGAGAGAAGAACAGAAGAAGGTCTGAGATGTTTGGGTCAAACCTTTCTTACTAGACAGTTTCATTAAATTAGAGATGTAAAATTGATGAAGAATTGACAGATGATACATGATACTGGATGTTTTGTGTTGATATATAAGGATCCAATTTCATTTTTCTAGATCAACTCTAAAGGTTGTTAGGAAAATATTATTCACCTTTTTCCTCTTCTTTCTCTTTTTTACCCATGTAAACATTATCATTACCAAGGTTTAACACATCTACATATCCATAATAGTTTTGTATGTTAGCATTGGGAGGAGGCTCTGAAAAATAAAATAGTCAATATTAAATTTTATCTTTTATTGATTGTTTTACATATTTAATAAGTGATGTTTATGTATGAGACATTTTCATTAACTTAAAAAAGTTTAGGGTTTACCTAGAATCTAAATACCTTTTGTTCACCGTTGATGTAGACTGACACAGTTGAATTATATTGCAACAAGAGAATATTCAAAAGTTTACAGAACCTGTTACTCAGGAGACATTATCAATGGGAGATCATCTAACGTGGATTAACTTATTTTTCGTTGATTAAGGAACAGTTGTTATTTCAATTCTTAGATATTTGATTTTGTGGTTCAACAAACAACAGCATTCAAGTCTTTAAAAAAAGTGTACTCCATTGAACAATTAAATTCTTGGTTCACCTGTACCCACGAAATCTGTAAAAATTGGTATCCCACAAATAATAAGAGTATTTTGAATTGAAATTAATAATTTAAAAGAATAAATAATACAAAGAATTAACAAAAAAATACTCAACACCTGACTGAACAACACAATAATTTACATATGAACTTAGGCCATGATTGAATTAGTAGAGTGTTCTACTTCCCAAAGTTCAATATTTGGTATATATCAATAAAACAGAAAAATTCACATTTATCCTACCCAAAATTAACCAAAATTATTGTTTTTATTTGTGGTTATTTGTTGATAAAATTTTACAAATTATTACTTTCATTGCTTATTGTTGATATTCTATTCTGATATCAGTGTCATACTGGTTCATCTAATTTCAACAACACATATTTTGAAATGTAATAATTTTATGCTGCTAAAGAGTTAGAAGCCTATTCTAGCGAGAATCTTTAAAAGCAAAATTATTAAGAGAACTCAAACAGGTACAATTCCCCTGTTTGTGCTATATTTGGACGCATTAAACACAAGAATGCACACGCTGAAATGTCTCGCCTGCTTTACTGATCATTGATTTTATGTTGATGGTCCTTAATATAAAGCTTTACTTCAAGTATCACATAAACTTAACATGATCCAAGAAAATGAGGCCAAGGTCAGATAAACCAAACCGGAAATACATGTACACCTTACAATCATTCCATACACAAACATAGTAGACCTATTGCTTATAGTTTCTAAGAAACAAACTTAACCAAGAAAATTTAACATTGACCAATGAACCATGAAAATGAGGTCAAGGTCAGATGAACCATGCCAGACAGACAATCAATCTATGCATTAAATATAGTTGACCTATTGCTTATAGTATCTAAGAAACAAACTTAACCATAAAAATTTAACATTGACCAATGAACCTTGAAAATGAGGTCAAGGTCAGATGATACCTGCCAGACAGACATATACACCTTACAATAATTCCATACACCAAATATAGTTGACCTATTGCTTATAGTTTAAGAAAAACAGACCAAAACACAATAAAATGCTTCACTGGGCGCAGCTTGATACGACCGCAGAGGTCGAACCCTAAACAGTTGGGGCAAGTATGGACACAGCATTCAAGCTTGATACAGCTCTGAATTTGGATTGTGATTAAATATTTGACACAGCATAGGTTTCTGACACAGAATGAATGTGGTCTAATATCCAAAATCTAAATACATACACGGTTAGATTCAGCATATCAAAGAACCCCAAGAATTCAATTTTTGTTAAAATCAAACTAAGTTTAATTTTGGACCCTTTGTACCTTTATGTAGACCAATTTGAAAACGGGACCAAAAATTAAGAATCTAAATACACGGTTAGATTCAGCATATCAAAGAACCCCAATATTTCAATTTTTGATGAAATCAAACCATATCATTATTATTTGCTTTTAAATATAAATAAAAAATAACCAACTTAAAATTGAAAATTTTAAAGAAAAAAAAAAGGGAAAAAAAGGACAAAAATCACCCCCCCCACAAATTCTTTGAAGCCCCTTATGATTCCATTCATCACCCCCAAACTCAATCCCATCCTTCCCTTTGTGGTATGGTACCTTGCAGTACAATTTCAGAGAGATCCATACACTTGAACACAAGTTATTGTCTGGAAACTGTAAAAATGCTTGTTTTTTGGCCCCTTTTTGGCCCCAAATTCCTAAACGTTTTGGGCAATTACCCCCAAACTCAAACCCAGCTTTCCCTTTGTGATATGGAACCTTGTTGTACAATTTCATAAAGATCCATACACTTACACACAAGTTATTGTCCTGAAACTACAAAAATGCTTGTTTTTTGCCCCTTTTTGGCCCCTAATTCCTAAAATATTGAGGCAATTACCCCCATCCTCAATCCCAGCCTTCCCTTTGTGGTATGGTACCTTGCAGTTCAATTTCAGAGAGATCCATACACTTGAACACAAGTTATTGACTGGAAACTAGAAAAATGCTTATTTTTGGCCCCTTTTTGGCCCCTAATTCCTAAACGTTTCGGGCAATTACCCCCAAACACAATTCCAGCTTTCCCTTTATGATATGGAACCTTGTAGTACAATTTCAGAAATATCCAAACACTTACACACAAGTTATTGTCATGAAACTAGAAAAATGCTTGTTTTTTGGCCCCTAATTCCTAATATTTTGAGGCAATTACCCCAAAATCAATTCCAGCCTTTCCTTTGTGATATGTAACTTTGTGGTACAATGTCAGAGATATCCATACACTTACACACAAGTTATTGTCTGGAAACTAGAAAAATGCTTATTTTTGGCACCTTTTTGGCCCCTTATTCCTAAACGTTTTGGGCAATTACCCCCAAACTCAATTCCAGCTTTCCCTTTGTGATATGGAACCTTGTAGTACAATTTCAGAAAGATCCATACACTTACACACAAGTTATTGTCATGAAACTAGAAAAATGCTTGTTTTTTGCCCCTTTTTTGGCCCCTAATTCCTAATATTTTGAGGCAATTACCCCCAAAATCAATCCCAGCATTCCCTGTGTGATATGGAACCTTGTGGTACCATGTCAGAGAGATCCATACACTAACACACAAGTTATGTCTGGAAGTTACAAAAATGCTTATTTTTGGCCCCTAATTCCTTAACTGTTGGTACCATAACCCCCAAAATCAATCCCAACCTTCCTTTTGTGGTATTGAACCTTATGGTAAAATTTCATAGAGATCCATTCACTTAAACTAAAGTTAGAGTGCGAAAACCAATGTGTCTTCGAACGACGCCGGATGACGCCAGATGACAACGACGACGACGACGCCAACGTCATACCAATATATGACCGCAAAATTTTTTGCGGCCGTATAAAAATGTAATTCTCACTATTCTTTTAATTTACACAAGCAGAAAAATCAATGCAAAATAAATTTTAGCAAATATGAGAAACTATGATCTTATTGATATAAATAAATCAATAAAGTTAAAAAAAAAAACAAAAAAAAAACAGGAAATTGAAAAGTCAAAATGCAAAAACAAGTTGGAAAACAGTACTTTCAATGTCTGTATACCTTGTTACCATAAAAATAAAATCTCTTCCATTCAATAAGAACTTCTACATAAGAAAGGTAACAAGTATTGGTCTTGATTGCTATCATGATTAACAGTGATTAAAGCATAAACCTTAAATTTGCTAATCAATTTCTGTATGATACTGATTTCTATGAACCATAAAACATGCTAATGGAATTACATTTATCTGCATCAATGAAACTATAGGAACTTAGAGGACCTAATACATCTTGTATATGTATTTTATCTGTAAATTTTACTTTATAAATTATATATTGTACAGAAACTAAGGTTGCAATTCTCCAGGCAAAATCTGATGACTCTTAATTAGATTGTATTGGCTGTTCTGTTTTAAAGGCTCTTGTGGTTTATTTTACTCACATGATATTTAACAGATACATTGTATTGAAATAAAATGACCAATGTCACTGCAAGATACAGGAACAATCCAATAATTTAGACAACCACTGGTTACATCCAAATAAATGTTAGATGACTTGGCTGACTATAATATATGAATAATTGAATATGGCAAGTAATTTGGGTTGTCTGTATAACAACTTAGATAAACAAACTGGCTCATAGAGTGAAAATGAAATAGTATTTAAGAGGAGTTATCTCATGAATAATTACACCCTTAACTGTTTCAATATGAAAGTATAAACAATCATGACCATTATGATGTAACTTTATAGTACAATTCTATAGGAAAGTTATTCATATTCCCCTTGTGACAGAAAATAGGAATACTATAAATTGCATGCATTAGCATTGTATCAATAAAATACTGGACCTCACCATATTTATCTCGTTTCTTTTTCTTCTTCTTTCTTTTTTTACCATCAATTTCTTTCATTTCCTTTGACATTTTTTCATCCTGTGAAAACAAAAACAAAATTTCCCATGATCATATATGAAAAAGCGTTTTTAAAGTTTCACAATGACAATGAATGATACGAAAATCTCTACCACAATGAACAAGGAACATTTCTTGGACAATTCCACACATGGTTGATTATGTCTGCATTTAACATTTAAAAATTAGAGGCTCTACAAAGCCTGTGTTGCTCACCTAGGTTTATGTGCATCTTCAACAATAGACCATATGATCTCCAACATGGTGGACTAGAAAAGAATTCATGACAAAAAAATCTCTTTTTTGTTGATCTTGTATTGCTGATCATTTCTTTTTGTCCAAAACATAAAAATGGGTAAAACAACTGTCATTTAAGGACAATCACTCCTATCAAGATTCTACAGATGATTTAGGCAAAATTTTACTTATTTGTAGATTTCATCTTGCTGATCATTTTTGCTATTGAATGTGTCTATCTATCTATAACAAATTTCAAGATAGGTATTAGACAAAAACACTTAAAATGGGTAAAAATCATCATTAAAAGCAATAACTCCAATAATGAGTCAACTGAGGATTTATGCCATGTTGTTTAAAATGTAGATTTTGTCTTGATGATCATTTTTGCTTATTGAAGTATTTATCTATCTATTATAGTTTTTAAGATAATAGGCAAAAATGCAAAAAGTAAAGGGCAATAACTCCACTAAGAAGTCTTCAGAAGATGTTGACTTAAATATTTGTTCTATCATATTTGTCTCAAATATATGATTTGCAGAAAATCTATTAAACTATATGAATTTCCTATAAGAATCTTGCATAGAATATCTACCCAAGGGCAACAACTCTTTAACAATAATAGAACAGAGTCCCAATATCCCGAGCATTGCACATATTTTATCTGACCAAGAGCAATAACTTAAGATTTTTTTTGGGTTCTTCAAAACTTTTGATAAATATGTTACAGAAATGATGGCTTGAGAAAGCTTACAATGCAATTTTCAATATAACTAATATCTACAAGGGGCATAACTCTTTTCAAATAAGTTGGCACTGACATTGATTATATAAACCTTTGATATAAATTTGATAAAAATCTGGCAAGAATTGTACAAATGAGACCGTTTACAATGCAATTTACCATACAATTAATATGTCCAAGGGTATAATTCTTTTAAAAATACATGATTCGCACTGATTTTATGAAACCAATGATATAAGTTTTTTTTTAAATCTGGCGAGAATTGTACACTTGAGAGAGTTAATAAGACCAGAGGCACAGACAGATGGATGGACATAAGTCCAGTATTTCTATGTCCCCAGCAAGGCGTCACACGTGGGACAAAAGAAAAGATGTCATGTCTGCTAGTAAATTAAATTTAATTTTAAAAACATGTTTGTTTTGTACCTGTTCATCACCAGGGTTTGAAAATTTAGAACTATTATAGCCTGTAGAATCATCATTGTTCTGTTGGTTGTCAGATGGAGCATTTTCAGGCTTTAACTTATCAGATGGAGTATTTCCAGACTGTAACTTGTCAGATGGAGTATTTCCAGGCTGTAACTTGTCAGATGGATAATTTCCAGGCTGTAACTTGTCAGATGGATAATTTCCAGGCTGCAACTTGTAAGATGGAGTATTCCCAGGCTGAAACTGGTCAGATGGTTTTTCTGTTGAATCATTTTTAAGTTCATTTGATTGGTTACTTCTGTTTTCCACAATGGGCTCTGAAACATTTCCACTAGCTTTTTCTGTTGGTACATTGTCAACCTCCTTTGTTAAGCTTTTGTCTTCATCTATTGTATTATCTGTTGGAACAATCTCATTTGACCTGCTTATTTGATCTTCAAATACAAAAATCATAATTTTGATGTTTCTAGTTTTAAAAAGCTCTTTGCAAAGCAAAACATCCCTACAAATTCCCACAAAAAGATAACCTGAATAATCCAGTCCTCATATTTTCACTCACTTCGATCCCTACATCACTGAAGGACAATGACCGTAAGGGTGCGCTGTAATTATTTGAGTTAACACAAAGGAGGTTTTTAATATGGCAAAATGAAATGCTATCTTCACGTTCAACCTACAAAAAACTTACTAAATAAATTTTGTTATTATCAAATTCAGATAACTTAATGTGTCTTTATCACAAGTAAGGCAGTACCACATTTACCAGAAATTCTTTCAGTATCACCTAATATATCCTATGAATTTACCAGGCATATAAAAAAGAGCAACAGTGGTTAGAATACATGTCTGTGCATGATTAAAGTGATCTAAGTCCCTGATGGAAAGATTGGAAAAGTTGTGTGAATAATTTCAAATCTTATTTTTAGTTTTCTTCTGGTGGAGAAAAAAAAATGATATAGCACTATTGCTTTTAGTTCCACTAATGCATATCTTTAGAAAGTTAATAATTTTTGTTTCAGTAGATAAAAATACCTTAACATTTGTCAATATTTTTTCAATGATTTTGTCATGTATAGAAAACATAACAGTGATAAGACAATCCCCCAAATTGCACAGATTGTAAGCTTGATTTTACTTTTTTTACTTGCTCTTACTTGACCGAGTTCTAGAATGTCCTACCACAGATTAGGTAACATGTTGAAAAATTATATACTCTGGTTTGGAAAGTTGGTAATGCAAAAATAGACTATTGTGAAAGCTAGGTTTTTACCAAATATTGATGTCTTACTGTCAACTCTTTACATTTCTTTGATATTGGCAATAAAATGACTTTGAAAAAGTTGACAAACATGCTTAACCCCACCACATTCTTTATGTGCCTGTCCAAGTCAGGAGCCTGTAGTTCAATGATTGTCATTCCAACGTTCATGTCTGTCATATTTGTTTTTTTGTAAACTGTTTTGTTATTAATTAAGTTGTAAGTTTTCTCATTTGAATTGTTTCACATATTCATGTTGGGACCTTTTATAGCCAACTATATGGTATGGGTTTTTCTCATTGTTGAAGGCCATATGGTAATTGCTTAAATCCACTTCATTTTGACTCATGTGGGTAGTTGACATTGACAATCATACCAAATCATATTTTTATAAGGTTTGGTAACATGATGCAAAATTACAACCAATTCTTACCAGACTATCACTACATAAAATGACATAAAGTAGAATACAATAATTTTTTCCTAAACATATTGTTAGTTGTTCCGATCAAAACTATTCTAAATTACTGTGACTTAACTGTTGGTGTTGCTCTCCACCTATTGCAACTTATTCAAAATTCTTACCAAATTGCAATTTGTTTTATAAAACCAAACTGTTCAACTGGTCAGAAATTTGAACAAACTGCTGTAGAAAACCACAGTCAAGTTGTGAAAGTGCAAGGTGACAAAATAAAGCATACTTACAATCCTACAAGACTTTAATTCCTCTTCAATGTTGTTATGAAATCTCAGTCTAACAGTTTGTATAGAAATTTTATTGTTATTGTCATGCTAAAGGTGATAGGTAGTAATTTTGAATTGCTATAAAAATGTCCAAACTAAGCTTTCATACAATTTTTCTGTTGAAAAAGTCTTCTATATTCATAAGAATCAGACATCATTTGAATTAAAACATTTTATGTTCAGTAAAATATGTGTGAAATTACAATATGTTGTTAGCTATAGGAAGTTTCCATGGGAGATAATCAATTTTTCTTTCGAAAAGTCTTCTATATTCAAAAGAATAATGATTTAGGTTATCTCCCATGGAAACTTATTAACAACGTATTGTAATTTCACATATATTTTACTGAATATAAGATGTTTTAATTCAAATGATGTCTGATTCTTATGAATATAGAAGACTTTTTGAAAGAAAAATTGTATGAAAGCTTAGTTTGGACATTTTTATAGCAATTCAAAATTACAACCTATCACCTTTAGCATGACAATAACAATTAAAAATCAATTGTTCAGAGAACAACTGAAGGTCTTTCCACATCAATTTTCTAAATTATTGATGAGAAGCTACATCCAGTTTACTCAAAATTACTATTGGCGTCCAACTGCCCGTATGGAAATTTCGACAGGGACTCCAGCTGGACTTCGAGACGTATTCCAGTCTGACTTTGAAAAGTCCAGTCTGACATGAGCCGTACACGTACTTTTTCTTATACTTGGGTTATTTGCCAGCCGGTATTTTCTTAAAAGTCCAAACGCACTTTTTGTAATGCCGACAAGAAAATAAACACAGCTGGACTTTTGAGGAAATTTATTCCTTTCTGTAGAATGATCAGAAGGATTTTTGTCTTAGAAAATTTTACATTCATTTATGAGCAGGAATTTAGACTTTGAAAATTTTCATCAGCCAAATCTACCCTTGCAGAAATAAAAAGTTTGCCACAATAGATTCTGTTATTTGAAAGGAACAATTCTTTCAAAATGTAAAATAGTTAAAAATAAAAGTTTGCAAGTAATAATAATGATAAAATATTTTTTTGCAATATACTTTTAGTTCAAACTATAAGATGTGATACTTTCCCTAGATTTTCAATTCCATTATGGAATATTTAACATAGACTGTTGATGGAAAGTTAAAATTCAATTTTGGTGACTTTTAATTGAATTATATCCAAGTTATTGCGAACCCAATGAAAGTTTTCCATAGTGCCATCTCTATCTTGACCAGGTATTTAAACTTTTGTAAGTTCACCTGTCCTATTGAATAAACACAATAGCTATTGTTCTCGTGTAGTTTTTTCACTGGGACCTTTAAATTTCTTCTAAGAGAAATCTATCACTCATTGATTAATTTACCAGTGAATAAACTACACAGAGAAAAATAGCTATTGTATTCATTCAATAGGACAGGTGAACTTACAAAAGTTTAAATACCTGGTCAAGATAGAGATGGCACTGTGGAAAACTTTCATTGGGTTCGCAATAATATGTTTACCACTGAATTACAGGCTCCTGACTTGGGACAGGCACATACATACAGAATGTGGCGGGGTTAAACATGTTAGCGTTGATTTATGTTATATTAATAATATATTTTCATTCAGTTTAATATAAACATTGATTCAATCATAAACAGTTGATTTCTGACAAAACTTTCAACATTGTTCCTTTTAAAAAAAAATTTGTTTGACATGAATAAAAACTTGAAAATTATGATGTTCAAATTAAGATCTTCTTAAATGTGGTCCGAGTACACAGTTATTTCGTAGTGCATTTCTTTTAGACAATAAATGGAAATTAAAAAAATCCCACCTGCGCTTTCTCAATAATATTTTTACAGTGTGTTGTACTACTTTTGGGACAAATTATATCAAAATTATAGAAAACTTCATCGGCTCTAACTCAAAATATGGACAATTTCATGTTAAGGGGGTCTTCAAATCTTTTGACAGCTTCCGAAGTGCTAATTTTTAACATTTTTCAGCTGGATCAAATCACTACTTTACTTTAAAATTCATGACCCAAATTTTTTTACAGTGTCATTTCACCCCCCTACTTACTATTTGAGTTATTAAACATGGAGAAATAAATTTGGAAGGGGTATAAAAAAGATTGACAAGTAACACACTGTCCACACTAGGGACTATATTCGTGGACAACGAAAATCAAAGGACGATAACTGTGTACCCGGACCTAATAGGGTAGAAAAAGTTGACCAATCTTAATGAAACTTGGTATGACCAAAGCTTATTAAATTATAAGACTGCTTACAAAGTTTCATGGCAATAGGATATATATTATAGACAATATGACTAATTCTATATTCAACATTGCGTGTTAAATTTAGACGTTAAAATTGAAAATTTTCAACTATCAACATTTGGGGCTTAAAAAATTAAAATATTGCAAAAAAATACTTTTGAAATGCCTTAATATATAATATATTATGTATTAAAAGCAATAGAGTACTCATTTGTTTTAACAGACTTATCATAATTATTAAAAAGTCAAATTTATATGAGCCTGTGGCTAAAAATGGAGGTTTTCCAATGAAGGGGGACCTTACATGAAGATGTAATATTTTCCAGCAATTTTAAATTTGTAAAGCTTTTTGGTTATAAATAATCCTTACATATGTATTTAATGTACTTTAAATGGAAAGAAAACTTACAAATAACATATCACATTAGTTTAAAAGGGTCTTAGGCCAAGTAAGACTGAAAATAATTTAGGGTCAATTTAGGCCGTATCACATATTTACATTTAAAAATGCATATTGAAGCTATAGGAAATAAAATTTTGTGTCTTTTCTATCATTTCTATACTCAGGAGACATGATACAATAAATCTGAGCACAAAAAGACTCTTGCATTCAACTTTTTTTGCAGACAGTATGGTCTGATACAAAGATTTTTCACTTTTTAGTGAAAAACATGCATGCAATTTTAGTCTCAACAGGCTTATATTTGAACCACTTGCTATCCTACAGAAGAAAGGAAAGATATTATGTGACATAAAACAGGTACAAAAGACATTGTTAAGTGCTTTTTATACAAATTTAGTGAGGTCTTTATAATGGACTTCAACTTTTATGTTCCAAGCTCCTCACATTTAACTTGATCCAAACAGGGCGTTAGACGAGGATCATATATACAACACATTTTGCACATATTGTCCGAGATAATCTTCTTTTCTGTAGATTCAGAGTTCACAAATGAGTAATACAACTGGATTGAAGCATAGAAACACAAATATTGACACATAAAAACCTGTCAGATAGAAAGTGAGAATGCCACTTATGCATCAAAACTGAAAAAGCTATGAAATGCTTATTTTGACCATAAAATGTCAAAATTGGTCATTTTTGCAGACATTCTATCAAATAAAAGTTTAAATTCTTTAGTTTTATGCTATTTGATAAATTGACACCATCAA